ATCTGAGTTTTGGTTCTTTTTGAGGGATGAGTTGATGAGAAATTGTCCTCATTTAGTACTTGGTCAAGGAAACCCTTGGGAAGAAGCCATCCAACTTTTCTCTTTCTCGTGCCATAATGCTGTGGATTGTAAATTAGTCAGTCATTCGTCCTTCTGGCAAAGACTGATCATGAGGAAAACACTGCACTAGAGAACTCCATCTCTGCTCAGTTAAAAAAAACAGATCTTGCTCATGCACTCTGAGTACGTAGCTGCTTTAATGCACAAATGGAGGGCCGTTTGGAGCTCTCAGAAGGTTTTCTGACTCGGAAGCTAACCAGTTCTTTGGTTCCTTCTGCTGAGAAAACATTACAGCTGAAACCATGATTCAAGAACTTTTCCTGAATGAAAATCAAATCCCACTCACTTACAGCAACTACAGCAGGGTGGTGTCGAAAATACAGTTCTTAACAACTGGGACAGAGGCCTCGACCTATCAGGAGGGCCCTAGCTGCGAGAGCCAGTTCAGGCATGCGGCTGTGCACTGGCTCCACTCAGCCGGCGCAGGTGGGCCCCGGGGCTTGGCTGGCTCTGGCTGCGGCCGTGTCTCCCAGCCCGCCGTGGCCTGCCGCTGGCGGCTGCCGCTGCTGTTAGGGAGGGCGTCTGCGGCAAGTGACAGCGTCTCTGGGTTCTCACTGCCTGTGCCAAATGTTCCACCCAGAGCTGTGGTGAAACAAATCGCACCACGTTTGTTTAGGGCCTTCTACTTTCTAGGAGGCCCCAGAGGAGCCATTTGCTCAAGCTTCACAGTGCTACAGTTTCAGATTTAGACTTTTTGATATGATTTCCAAACGAGGCTAATGTTCTGTCTCACAGAGGTGCTGACTGGACTGGGAAGGGAGAGGTTCCCCCCCCCCTCTCTCTCTCTGTTTCTCTCTCTCTCATTACTGGAGATTTTAACCAAGGGCCTTCACACTGAGCTACACTTCTAACCCTTTTTATTTTTTTATTTTGATACAAGGTCTCACTAAAGTCGCTAGGTTGCCTAGGCTGGCTGCCCCCACCCCCGGCTTGTAATCCAGGTGCTGGGATTACAGGCGTGCCCCACCACTCCTCACAGTTTTGTCTTTAAATCCGGTCTCATTACTGGATTTAAAGAACTTCTAGTGCTTCATAAATCAACTTGTCTACAAATCCTGCCATTTCCTTGAGAATATCTTAATACACACAATGATTTTTTGTTGTCATCATTTTATCATCCGCTTATTAAACACATATTTGTAAAGCACCATACTTTTCATGCATTCTGGCACTTAATTTTTCACTGTGCAGAAAGACTAGAAAAAAGATGAAATGACCCAACATTGCCCTAGAAAAAGTTAGTTGTGACAGGAGACCCAGGCCTCAGGTCTAGCTTTGCCTAAGGTAACTGGTATTAGATAGAATCCCTCTTCCTACAATCACAGCTCTATAATCAGACTTTCTCTTTCTGGGGAATGTTTGCTTCCACAAACCCCCTACCCCATCTCCCTTAAAAGAAGACTTTCCTTGGGGAACCCAGGAAGCCTGAGTGAGCCAGCCTGGCCAGAGTGAACTCAAGGCATCCTTGTTCAGACTACACCTGAGAATGACACTCAGTAGCAGCTTAATTACAGTTGCATCTTACATACTGACCACCTCTCGGCTTCCACGTGAAAAAAGAGCTTGACAGTTTTAAAATATTTGAGAGCAACTATCTTAAGTATTCTTCTGACTGGTGGAAGTGTGTATTTCTTAAGTCCCAGGCTGTGGCATCTTTGGGGAATCAAATTCAGCCTTTTCAGTGGTCCCATGACTCCAGTTCTGTGTGCCCTGGACACTGCAGAATCTGCACTCAACCAACACTGCTCTTGGTTTCTGACTTTCTGGCCAGATAGGAAATGAAAAGTCAGTGTTAACAGGAGGAAAGGGAGATCATGCCTTAAGGAAGGTCTTAGAGCTGAGGATGAAGTAGCAGGCATCAGCCTACTAGGCCTGGGGCCACCACAATCAGTTCTGCACTCTCTATCTATCTGCCAGCCGGGCGTGGTGGCACACTCCTGTAATCCCAGCACTTGGGAGGCTGAGGCAGGAGGACACTGCGAATTCAAGACCAGCCTGGGCTACAAAGTGAGCTCAAGGCGAGCCTGAACTGATCCTGTCTCAAAAAGAACAAAAAAAAAAATGTATTATTCCATATCTGTCATCTGCTTTTGACACCAGGAGGTCAAATTGAGCTTGACCTTGCCCTAGAAGTTCAATTTGAATATGCCCATAAATGCTGAAAAACTTACTAAGTGTATATATTTTGAGTCACAGCTTCTTAAAAATGAATTGAGTCCATTAACTTGTAGTCATTGGAACAAAGCACTCTTTCTAAAAAGAGTTGGCCAAAGAAGACCTACCAGAATGCCTCATTGTATGCAGTAACATTCAGTCACAGAGCTTGGGGGTTTTGTTTTGTTTTTCAGTGTCTCACATGATTTAATCACCTTACCCTAGGTTATATAACTCATTCTTCTTCATGTTCTGAGTTTTTCCATTTACAACTCCAGAAAAAACTTCCCTATTTTAAATCCAAAAATTGGATGATAATTACTAAGCATATTGTAAATACTCTGAATTTGTTGATAAAAGAAATTATAAGACCAGGCACTGTGGCATACGGTTGTAATCCCAGCACTGGGGAGGCTGAAACAGAGGATCACCATGAGTTCGAGAGCAACCTGGGCTACTCTGTGAGTTGAAGGCCAGCCTGAACTACACAGTGAGCCCTTTTCTCAAAGAGAGAGACAGAAAGAGACAGAGAAGAAGAGAAAGAGAGGGAGAGACAGACACAGAAATTGATATACAGAGAAGCCAAAAGCAGCATTTGACAATTATTATAATTATTGTTTCTTCACACCTCAACATCTTTAGAAAACCAATTAAGGTATCATCCAATATTAATAGTTGGAGACATGAGGTGACTTGTCCAAACTATACAGCAAGGCTACACAGTGCATTCACTTAAACATAAAAGTGTCTAAGTACCTCTGGGTACCAAAGACTGTTAAAGCAAGTTAGGAAAATTTACAGAAGTAATAATGCAGAGTTTGTGTTCATCTAAATGTAAACTGCATCAGCACAAATCAAATGTATATTCATCCGAGATTGTAGGAAAACATTTAGGCTTCTCTTCTGTATAGTAAAGGCCCATTTAAAATTACACTTGAAGGATAATTTATGCTATTCATTTATCATTTCTGTGTAACAACATAAACACTTGCACATTGAGTTAAATTATGAGCGTATATTCAACTTTTACAAGCACACGCACATATTACCTTCCGTGGAGATAATTGTGAACTTGTGCACTGTAAGCTATTAAGAAGCACTGCTTTTACAGCCATATCAACATTTAAACAGTCAGTTTTTAATAGTTACTGAAAAAGTCCCTCCGAGACAGAAGTTCTCATTTTCTTTTTTGTGACACTGTCAGCTGACTCCATTTAGTGCACCCTTTGACTGTCATTGCACCTCAGCTTGCTGTCTGGAGCTCAGTTTCCCAGGAATTCAGAAAAAAAAATTGTGCAACTCTCTTCACACCCGATACACATTCCCCTTGCCTGCTTCTAGGGAACACTGAGTCAGCAAACAAACGCAAAGGAAGACGGACAGCTCTGCTGGAGAGGGAGCGAAGTCAACTGGGAAGTTGGCCTCAGGTCTCCATTCTTGACTAGAGATGGGGAAGAAAGAAAAGGCTGAACTGGGCACAGGACAGGGAAGAAGGGCTGTGTCTTCATTCCTGAGAAGGTGTCTCCAGCCCCTGCCGGGCAAGTGCAAGGTCCTGAGTTTGATTCCCCTTACAAAAAAAAAAAAGGAGACGGTGCCTCTCCAGCTTCACGTAAGGGGCTGTGGACTGGATTCCGTAATCAGGAAAACTCACAACCCAAACTCCAGTGTGTAGACCCATTCCAAGGTGAAAGGCAAATGTACTTACATCATTTAGTCTTTTAGATGATTTATGAAGTTCCAAAGTATGATTTGGGAACATTAGGAGGGGCAGAGCAGAGGAAAGTAGTAAGAAGGAGATGATTATTTATATTTGATATCATTTTAAGATTCATCTCCAGTTCTTTGGGAACTCCCTAAATAAAAGGCAAGAAGCAGCAACAAGTATGTGATATGTCTGTGGGCACTTGGGCCAGCAAAGGTAAGTGAAATAAATGAATTAGAACTTCAAATTTTCACCTCTGGCTGGGCGTGGTGGCACACGCCTGTAATCCCAGCACTCGGGAGGCTGAGGCAGGAGGATCATTGCGAGTTCGAGACTAGCCTGGGCTACAAAGTGAGTTCACGGCCAGCCTGAACTGCATAGTGAGACCCTGTCTCAAAAAGACAAAAAAAAAAAAAAAAATTTCACCTCGGCAACGAAAAGGTGTTAGGGTGTACCTTAGTTTGAAAGGCCAGTTTTAAAGAAAGCAGGACCAAGCAAAGAAGTTTCAGGTTTGGAAGAACCCTCAAGTTCATTACTAACATGTACGGCATTTAGAAAGAAAAGTTGTGTTCATTGATTACATAACTAATAATTTTATGAAGCCAACTTTAAATACCGATTCAAAAAGCAGTGTTCACATATTCTCCATTAGCAACAATATGTTAAAAAGAATGTTTGGGGGGTTTTACGAATAAGACTACGTTGACAATCCACTCTTCCAAAATGAAAAAGATTTATACATTGTCTTATGTAAACGCAGTTGATGAGACCTAATGTACCACTAGTGGGCATGTAAGTCCCACTTGCTTAACACCTAACGTCCCAGTAAGACCTCGGTCCTCACAACGTTACAGCTCAGGCGTCATTCCAAGTCCCACCAAACCTTGTCTCCTTTCTCCCCGCATCCAGTCCGCCCACACGCGCGCGCGCACACATACACTCACGCACAAGCATGCACGCCCGACAGGCACAGAGCAGTGCTGTCCCTTCCAGCGAGTCACGGGAGCCCGGCGTCTCACTTTACCTCCCACGCAGGCAGGATGCCGGCTGGTGCCTCTGGCTCCGTAGCTGCCATCGCTCTCCTCCTCTCTGCCCTTCTGGTGCAGCAGCGTGGGGCCCTCTCCGTTTTCAACAGGTACCATGGTCACGTAGAAGTTACAACCTCTCTCTCGCCTCCAAACCACCGTGTGCTGCACCGCCGACAGGTCTGATCACTTTCCCCATGGTACCATACTAAAGAAGAGGGGAGGGGGAGGTCCTCTGGCAAAGCCAATGTGATTTGTGACCAACTTTGTTTCTATTTCAGAAAGGCTTTGCCCTTTTCGGTGACACAGGCTGTTGCTATTCCAAGCAGCCTATCACAGGCAGGGGGCGGGCCCTGTCCGCAGGATTGCTATTGCCTTTAGATGCGGAGTTGGAAGCAAGAGGTTAAAAGACTTGCTCACAAGTCTCACGCACAGTGTTTGGCCATTAGCTGGGGCTGGCTCTTGAATTCCTGCACCTTTGAAAACAGGCAGAGAAAGGAAAGTGCAGATTTAAATACCAGCCGTGAATGGCGACAGAACATTCACAGATGGTATCACCTAATCTTGCAGAAGAGGAACAACTTACACAAAGGCATACCAGAAGGAAAAGTGTGTTAGTTTTTCAACAAGACTGTTATTCCAAGACCCAGGACACCAGCTTACACAAAACCTAAAATATCTTTACCATTTCAATCTAACTGCAGTCTAGGTAAATGGCTCCTATACTTCTCACTTCGATGGCCTGTCAGACAAATCAAAGCCTGCTACCAATTCAGAATACATAGATTCTTTAGATTTTGTATATCTTGAGATGACAGCAAAGTAGTCCTTTTTTAAATGCCTAATTGTCTTTAAGAAAGAGCCAATCCTCATTTTCTGTCAGGTTGAATTTTTGCCTGGGTAGGAGGTGGACACCCCCTTCTCAGGAAGATGGATGGAATGGCCCATGGTGTGAGTGTACTGGTCCTATAACTTCAAACAAATAAAGGTATGAGAGGAAAGACTGTTTTTCTGATTTGTGAATGTATTTACATAAACAGTCTTGTTGGGTGTGGTGGCACACGCCTGTAATCCCAGCACTGGGGAGGCTGAGGCAGGATAATCCTTATGAGTTTAAGACCATCCTGGGCTACAAAGTGAGTTCAAAGCCAGCTTGAACTGCATAGTGAGACCCTGTCTCAAAAAGATAAAAAAAAAAACCATAAACAGTCTTACAAAGTGATGCTCTTTTGCCTTCAGGTACATATTTAGCAAATCACATGGGTTAAAAAACCTTATACAGGAAACTAGGATCTTCTTAGAAAAACATTTGAGAGTGAAAACTAAAATTTATGCAGTATTTCTATGCCAGAAATTGTACAAAGTTCATTAACTTGAATGATTCTTTTTAGTGGGTAGGGAGACAAGCTTGTGAGGCAGATGCTGATACTGAGGCCAAGGAAAAGGAGGCTGAGTAACTTGCCTAAAGTCTTCCAGTAGTTAGCATGAAGCTGAGATGGCAAAGCCAGAAGGTCTACGGCCATAGCTCTCCTCTGGGGTAACTTCTTAGCTTTGTCCTTTTCTACTAGCTCTTCTTGACTTTGTTTTTATTTTTTATTTTTACTAGTACATATGATTGCATTCATTGTGAGGAGTTGGTACACAACATGTAATGCAATAGTGACTTAGGCAACTGCTTTGCTTTGTTCCCGGGTTGTGTGGACACCATAGAGTGGGAGTGTTTATCGTGAGACCCGTATTTCTCATCTTTCTCCAACTTCCCTTGGTTTTTGTCTTCTTTCTGTGTAGAACCAATGACCTGGTGGGGTCAGTGGTGTTCTTGTCCTGGGTGAGTTGTATGATTGCTTTATTTCATGATCCGTAGGACCTGTGTCAGCAGGAAGTGTTAGAGTGTTTGCTGTAGCAATTGAGCGGGCACCAGCTAAACCTAATTCCAGATTACCCGATTCTGGTGAAAAGCAATTCAACAATTCTTGCTCTTTTATAGCAGCCAAATTATCCAGGACCCTGCAGGCATAAACCAACCAAAATCTAAAAGAATGGGGAACCAATGCAATTGATCATCTTATTTCCTGGTTCACCTCATTCTGTTTGATGTCCTGTTGTTGACCTGACAGGGGCCAGTGTCTAGCCTCATTCTCTTAACTCAGAGAAAAATTCTGAGTTTTTAAAACTCTTAACTCACCTCATTTTCATAACTCAGAGAAAAGCTTGCAGGGGTTACATTTCTTTTGCTCAGGAGGTGGGGGACATTTTCCTTAAATTCCCTTAATACGCTATACTTCTTCCGGTGTTTAGCATACTTATAATGCATTTATTATAGTTAGGCACAGTGATCGGATTATATCTGTCTCTTCTGATGAATCACAACTCTATATGGCTTCGTAGGGAGTTCTAAGTCTCCCGAACAGAGGAAATACACTGGATTCTACTGACTGTGTTGGGGCTCAGGTTGTGATACTCTGAAGCGTGGCACTTCAGATGCTGGGTGCTGTGACCTGAAGGCTGCGAGAAGAGCCTCAAAAGCACAGTTTCTCTGAATTTCTCCTGCTCTTCCCTTTGTCAACACTTGCACTGTTCCAAATTAAATGTTTGAAATCAGAATTCCTTTTCCCCAAAGTAAGCTGCTCTCCCCTCAAAGCAAGCCACAAATTTAGAATGGTGACTCTCCCCCTCCCCTGAGGAAGGCTCCTGCCCCTTACTCCAGGGAGAGAAATGCTAGACAATGAGCCCAGGAAGGAACTCAACAGGCTTTGCTGGGTTCTCCTTTCATTTTGTTACCACTGCATCACACCGTTCTGTCCACTCACATTTCTACTTGGCTGTCCATTTTGCATCCAAGCTAAGCATAAAACCGCCAATTTAGCCCCGCCCTGCGTGCTCACGTCACAGGGCCGCGAGACCCAGCATGCGCAGTCATCAGGGAAGCGAAGATGGCGGCTGCGAGGGAGCCTCCTCTGCTGCGAGATTGGAGTCTCACTGACTTTGAAGAGCTGGAAGACAGCGAGGACGTGTTCGCCAGCACCTTCTCCACCCTGGAGTCAAATCCGTCACCTCCAGAACCAGCTAGTCTTCCTACAGAGGATATTAGTGCAAACTCCAATGGCCCCAAACCGTCAGATGTTGTTCTAGATGATGACGGAGAAGATCTGTTTGCAGAAGCCACAGAAGTTGTTTCTTTGGACAGCCCAGAAGGGGACCCTATCCTGTCCTCGGAATCTTCTCCTGCAGTCACACCAGACCCCGCTACTATACTCGTTGCTCCTAGAATGGAATCCAAGAGTGTGTCAGCTCCTGTGATCTTTGACAGGTCCGGAGAAGAGACTGAAGAAGCAGCAAATGGAGATATTTTTGATATAGATATTGGTGTGTCAGACCCAGAGAAAGTTGGTGACGGCATGAATGCTTATACAGCATACAGAGCAACAACAAAGACTTCTCTTAAGGGATAAACATATTTCTAAAATTCAGTTCAGTAAGTGAAAATTCTAGCAGACAGTCATGGAAAAAACAAACTAAGTTCTTCAGTGTTAAGTAACTTTCCCCCTTAGCTTATATATTTCTGGAACTGTTTTCTTTAATTCAGGAAAATTTGTCATGGGGCCCTGCCCTGTGAAGACAATAAAACATGAAAAGAGCTAAAAAAAAAAAAAAAAAAAAAAAAAAGACTTCTCTTTCCATGCTGAGTAAGAGTGAATTTTCAGTTAAAAGAAGCTTCAGTGACTTTCTTGGTTTGCACAGTAAATTAACAAGCAAGTATTTACATGTTGTTTATACTGTGCCACCAGCTCCAGAAAAGAGTGTAGTAGGTATGACGGAGGTCAAAGTAGGTAAAGAAGATTCATCATTCACTGACTTTGTAGAGAAAGGAAGAGCAGCTCTTGAAAGGTATCTTCAAAGAACAGTAAAACATCCAACTTTACCACAGGATCCTGACTTAAGGCAATTCTTAGAAAGTTCAGCGCTGCCCAGAGCAGTTAACAGGAGGCTCTGAGTGGAGCTGGGATGTTGAGGATGGTGAACGAGGCTGCAGACACTACCAGCAAAATGACAATGAAGATGGATGAGTCGAAGGCACGGTTTGAAGAAAAGCAGCAGCAGTTTGAGAATCTTGACCAGCAACTTAAGAAACTTCATGCCAGTGTTGAAGCCTTGATTTGCCTTTGCTAAAAGTGCTGTCATGTTAGGTAATTCTGAGGATCATTCCACTTTATCTAGAGCTCTGTCTCAGCTTGCAGAGGTCAAAGAGAAAATAGACCAGTTACATCAGGAACAAGCTTTTGCTGACTTCTGTATGTTTTCAGAACTACTTAGTGACGACATTCGTCTTATTTCTGCAGTAAAAGGTTTGTTTGACCATCGAATGAAGTGCTGGCAAAAATGGGGAGATGCTCAAATTACTTTGCTCAGAAAACGTGAAACTGAGGCAAAAATGATGGTCGCTAACAAACCAGATAAAATCCAGCAAGCTACAAATGAAATGAGAGTGGGAAGCGAAAGTACAACAAGAAAAAAGAAATTTTGAACAGATCTCTAAAACAATTTGCAAAGAAGTGGGAAGATCTGAGAAAGAATGAGAGAGGGATTTTAAAACTGTTCTCATCAAGTACTTAGAATCATTAATATAAACACAGCAATAGCTGATAAAATACTGGCAGGCTTTCCTGCCAGAGGCCAAAGCCATTGCCTAGCAGGAGGACTGTCCTGCTGGAGACAACGCTGGGTGTTGCAAGTCATCCTGACTCCACAGTGAATCCCTTACAACCATCCAAATAAACCATTCTATATTTTATGAATTACATGTAGTTTTTTACACACACACACGTATATATATACACACACACTCTGCCATTTTATTACACGCTGCATGTCCCGATCATCTCTGAATTAAGTGCACTGTGCCATGACATTCTGCAATACTTTGCTGAATTGAACACTATTGTGTCATAAATACTTGCACTAAAATGTGCACTGCAAGACCAGAAAATTTTACAATATTTTTTCTTTATGTGTTCAGTAGTAGGCTTCCCCTCAATGCCGTGAATTGTCAACGCATTATTAATGTTCACTTTTACATTCCTCTACAGAAATTATGATTTATCTGATCACAGTAATAAAATGTCATTCCTTGTGAATAAAAAAAAAAAAAAAATCCAATTTTCCCTGAGTCTCTGGGTCTTCATTTCTGAAGCTTCCTGTGTCACATAAAACTTCAATTAAATCAGTCTCTTTGCTTTTGTCTTTTTAACCTGGTTTCTCTGGCATTCGTACCAGCCTTAACCCTTAAGATGGCTAAGGAAAGGTCTTCCACATTTCCGCCCTTACAGCTAAAAGATTGATTCCCTGTAAATACGATAAGTACAGGCACTTGTACCTATTTGTATATTCAGCTACCTCCATATCTCTGGATCTTAGGACAACAGGCAGTACATAGTATTTGTCAAACAAAGGAGTGCTCAAAGTTTTCAGAACCAAATAACTATTTGGTTATTTAGTATCAAAACACAAATGATGATTGGCCCTGATACTGTGTTTTTACTCTCTCTGTCAATCACTTTATAGCAGTCACTAAGGGATGTCTTTCTTTCCTGGAGTCTAAAGCACAGCCATCACTAAAAGCTATTCATCCACTTAAGGGATGTACCGTCTGCCATCTGCTGAGAGATAGGTCATTCTTCATAACCCAAACAATGTTGCTACATGCCAGTTGAGACCACTGCCCATACACAATGCAATCAAATCCGAAAACACTTCTCCTGGCTTATAAAATGACAAAACAGAGTGAACTAAATGCTTTGCTTTGTAAAGTAAATGCTACTACTTCCATTTTGCAGAAATCTAAACTGAGAAGTTTATAAAACATGTCTGAAATCAAAAGACATTTTCTGATGTTTTATTATGAAAAACTTGAACCTCACAGGAAAACCTAAATTTTGTAACAACATTTTATGGTACTTGCCTTTTCACCCCTGTCTGCTAATTCCTCATTAATCCATTGATCCATATTATTTTGTATGCATTTTAAAGTAAGTTGAGCCGGGCGTGGTGGCACATGCCTGTAATCCCAGGGAGGCTGAGGCAGGAAGATCGTTGTGAATTCGAGACCCACCTAGGCTATAAAGTGAGCTCAAGGCCAGCCTGAACTGCATGGCAAGACCCAGTCTCAAAAAAAGACAAAAAATAAATAAAGTAAGTTGAAACACTGGGTGTGGTGGCTGAACCCTTGTAATCCCAGCATTCAAGGGACTGAGGCAGGAGGATTGTAGTGAGTTCAAGATCAGCCTGTGCTACCAAGTGAGCTAAAGTTCAGCCTGAACTACATAGTGAGA